CCAGGGAGGAGGTCACATATAGTTCCTTGTAATCGGTTCCCTCTTTCCTACCCACTCTCCCTCTACCCTCCCTGTTTCGCCACTCATACCACTGGTCCTGTAGGGCTCATCCGCCCTGGATTCCCTGGATTTTCAGTTCCTATCTGTACCAGTGTACATCCTCTGGTCTACCCAGACTTGCAAGGTCGAATTTAAGTCATGATAATGGAAGCGGGGAGGAAACATTTAGGAACTAGAGGAAAGTTGTGTTTTTCATCGTTGTTCCATCGCACCATGCTACATTTTTATCTAACTAAATCTGCCATAATTGACCTTACAGTGCTCTCTGTCAGGTAGCAAGGTGAATCATAGCTTAATCCATGTGGAGACACTGCAAATGGATCGGGGACTTCCTCTGTCATCCGTAGCCTTCTGCAAACCAGGTGCTCAGAATCTAAGCTCTGATACCATCCTCCTGGCTCATTTTTAAATGTTTGGCAAATATAGCCATTTCCCAACCAGCTACAGCCCAATCCAAATGGTGGAGTGGTCCTGTAATCTAACAGCCCCACCGTTCCTACCCCACCTGGCTACTGTCGCCATGCTACTTTGGAGCCAGCCCTGGGCTATCCAGACCTTGCCACAGGTAGCAGTGAAAGGAAAAGTGGCAGGTGAAAGGACCCAGCCATGAGCCCAAAGAAGGAGGATGAGACATTGAGGACAAGGCCCTCCCGGGGCATCAGTCTGTTTATAGCAGTGTGCTTAGCTAGGTTGTTCTGAGTAAAGAGGTGAAAAGAGGGGAGTTTCCTAAAATGGAATTGCCAAATCAGCATGTTTTACCTAATTAGAATGCTGGTATTCTAATATTGGAAAAATTGTTAGAGTAAGCACTTAATGACCCAACACGAAAGCCACTTTGTGAAGTGTGACTGCTATTGGAGGGTGGGGTTCCTTGTGGTACCCAAGGATGCTTACAAACAGGCTATGGGGACAAGGGTGCCCAGCCACAGTAATCTGGTGGCAGAGCTGTAGCATTATGAAAGGCACCGTCCTGCTGGGAAGAAGGAGTGCCCAACAGCACTTTACCAACGATCCTCAAGGAGACCTTGGAATGTACTTTCACTGGCCTTAGAAAATGCTTGTCAGCAGGCAGGACGTCCTGTGGGACCTTCTACCCCTCTTACTTATTCATACGAGGCCCTGGTCTGAACTAGGGTCAGATGGTGTGCATTCCACCCAGCAGGCCATGATTCCCATCCTCAAAGGTCACCTCCCAAAGGCCACCAGGCCGACCTGAAACCCCTTTCCATTTGCTGCAGCCCCCAAACTGGCCAGGGAGGGCAGAAACTCACCAGTAAAGGTAGTAGAAGAAGGAGAGGAGATAGAAGGCCAGCTTGCACCAGGCCTCCTTCTGACAGTAACTCAAGGTGTCTGCATTCATGACCACCGGTGGGTCGTAGGCTAGCTCTGAACTATCTGCCGGACAGTGGAAATACCTGCAGGGAAAGAGAACACGCACCATTGGCAATGAAGCTAGATGGGGCTCCGGAAGTAGTTGGGCTCAAGTCCTCCCCACACAGGTGTTTTTCCAAGGGACCTCTGATAAGCAGTTCCTCTCACCTGCCAGCTCACAGTCCAGGTGCCACCAAAGAAGAGCTCAACTGTTATTACTGTTGAAACAGGTAGTAACTCACCAAATATTCACACCCACTGCTTCCTGGTAACTTAGCCCACATACAAAGCTACTCTGATGGAAGGAAAGTGAGCCAATTGGGTAGTAGTGGGTCTGGACACGGGTTTAAGTATAGACAGAGGTGTAGGTATCCATGTAGAGCTATAGCCTTGCCACATGGATGCCATCGTACCTACGATTCTACCTTAAAAGTTAAATTACTTTGGATGATGCGTTATCTTCTATCTAAGCCCTCTGTTAAAACTCTGAATACACAGGAATGAATATCATATTCCCACTCGAATATCAAGTCGTTTCCTCAACGCTGTTTCCCCCTCCTTAATAGAACGACCTATAAAACAGAACATTGTCCTTCTGTAGGGAGAGTGGCCCCAGAGGGAAACTGGGCAGTGACAAGAACAGTGGGTGGAAGAGAGTGGGGAGGGAGGCAGGAGGCCAAAGCTTTGTCTACCTCAGAAGATTGTATTGGCTCAGCACTCAGACTGTAGTAAGGTCACTTGGGATGGGATACAAGTGCAGAGGGATCCAGGGACTAGTCTTATCTTGGGAAACCAGGCAGGTCTCCAGGTCCTGTGTAGGTGACTGGGCAGGGGGTGCACAGGGAGCAGTCCTCAGGACTGCTCCTCCTGCCGTGGGCAGGACCCTGCCCCAGACCTCTGCCTCACTTTCCCCTGGAGCCCCAAATCATTCAGCCAGGCTGCTTTTTGAGTCACCCCAGGAAAAGGCACAGGAAGCCAAGAGTGGGCATAAATGGTCCCACCCAAGCTGGGTAGCAGACCGGCGCACAGTGGTGAGCAATGAGCAGGGGAGCCACCTGTAATCAGGAGACTCATCACACTGGCTTTCAAGAGCATCCCTGTCACATAGCAACTGACTCGGAGAAATGGTACTTCCCACCCCTGCTCTCTCCCCGCTCAGAGGATTGCCCTGACATTATCCGTCACCGACATCATGCTGAGAGCCATCACGAGCCAGATTCAATGACATCTGCCAGTTCAGAGACCTCCAGGCCACTCACCTCTTTTCTTGCTGGGGGCAGATATCAAATATGATTTGCTTTCACTGTGGCCTTGTTCCCAGGTGGTCTCATTCTGTGGAAGCAGCGTGGCAGGGTGGCCAAACAGCTCAGAAGAGAGAGCCAGGGCTCTGCCACTCACCACGGCACCTCCCCGGGGTCAGGCATGAGCCTGTTCTAGCCTTAGCTTTCGCATCTGTGAACTGAGCATGAAGACTGCCCAGCGCCCAGCCCTCCAAAGCCCACTGTGGGGACTCGGCCTGGGCAGAATGAGCGCTGAACCAATCGCAGGGAACCAGGGCTAGAGCCAAGGGGCATTTCTGCATGAGAGCTATCTTTGAGCTGGGCCTGTGGGAGGGCAAAGCAAGAACAAAGGGAGGAGAGATGTTGTTGGGGGACTTTGATTTTTTTAAGAACTCCTTTTTTTCCCTCTTTCTAATTTTCTGATTTCTTATCATTGGGATGACCTAGGCTAAAGCCTGCCAGGGATTCAGGAAAAAGTAAGACATGGTTCCGACTGGCAGGGAAATTCCAGCGGCCCCTTCATATAAAGACCTGCCCCTCCCAAGAGTAAGGGGCCTGGCTGGCTGGTCTCGACTCTCTCTTGGACACACGAGCACCCAAGAAGCAGAGCTCTGTATATCAACCACACTTGAACCCTGAAAGGAGAGCCCTCTACTTCAAGAACTTTCAGATCCATTCCTCCCTTTCGTTTTCTTAAAATCATTTTATTGGGGGCTCATACAACTCTCATCATAATCCATACATCTATCCATTGTATAAAGCACATCCGTACATTTGTTACCCTCATCATTCTCAAACATTTGCTCTCCACGTAAGCCCCTGGCATCCGTTCCTCATTTCCCCCCTCCGTCCCTGTTTCCTCCTCCCTCATGAACCCTTGATATTTATAAATTATTATTTTGTCATATCTTACACTGTCCAATGTCTCCCTTCACCCACTTTTCTGTTGTTCGTCCCCCAGGGAGGAGGTCACATATAGTTCCTTGTAATCAATTCCCTCTTTCCAACCCACTCTTCCTCTACCCTCCCAGTATCTCGACTCACACCACTGGTCCTGAAGGGAGCATATGCCCTGGATTCCCTGTGTTTCCAGTTCCTATCTGTACCAGTGTACATCCTCTGGTCTAGCCAGATTTGTAAGGTAGAATTGGGATCATGATAGTGGGTGAGAGGAAGCATTTAAGAACTAAAGGAAAGTTGTATGTTTCATCGTTGCTATACTGCACCCTGACTGGCTCGTCTCCTCCCCATGACCCTTCCGTAAGGGGATGTCCACTTGCCTACAGATGGGCTTTGGGCCCCCACTCCGCAATCTCCCTCATTCCCAATGATATAATTTTTTGTTCTTTGATGCCTGATACCTGATCCCTTTGACACCTCGTGATAACACAGACTGGTGTGCTTCTTCCAGGTAGGCTTTGTTGCTTCCAAGCTATGTGGCTGCTTGTTTACCTTCAAGTCTTTAAGACCCCAGACACTATATCTTTTGATAGCCAGGCACCATCAGCTTTCTTCACATTTGCTTATGCACCCATTTGTCTTCAGTGATCATATTGGGGAGGTGAGCACACAATGATATGATTTTTTGTTCTTTGATTCCTGATAACTGATCTCTTCAGCACCTCATGATCACACAGGCTGGTGTGCTTCTTCCATGTAGGCTTTGTTGCTTCTGAGCTAGATGGCCACTTTACCTTCAAGTCTTAAAGACCCTAGGTGCTATATCTTTTGATAACTGGGCTCCATAAGCTTTCTTCACCACATTTGCTTATGCACCTGCTTTGTCTTCAGCAATCATGTCAGGAAGGTAAGCATCATGGAATGCCAGTCTAATGGAACAAAGTGTTTTTGCATTGAGGGAACCTACTACCTTAATACTAAACCTATAAATAGCTGCACATAAATCTATTTCCCCATCATATATAAATATATTTACATATGTACATGCCTTTATGTATATGTATAGACCTCTATAAGTGCCTTTTGCCTCCTAGCACTTTCCTCTATTACATTCCTTTCATAGGGGGAAGAACCAGCTCTCTGCCCAGTGTACGCAGGGCAACAGCATTGGGTTTGGACAGATGTGTGTTCAACCCACCTTGTTCCTCTTAGTGGCTGAGCGGCTTGGCAACCAACTTCCCTTTTGTAAATGTCTTTGTCCCCTTGTGTGAAACAGACGGGAAGAAATCTATCTCAACCTATCTGGGTGAAGTAAACATAGAAAATCCCAGCGTGGGACTTCAATGCATTTCAACACCCGCATTCTTCTTTTAACGTCTCTCTAAATTCAGATCTTAGCAGATTGCATTCACTTAAAGTGGGACTTGGCTGGGCAACCGAAATCATTTCCCTGCCTTCTCCAATCTGTGACTTCCCTTAGCAGTCTGCTCCTGGTCAAGGGCACATCATCCTCCCAGGTGTCCTCTCCTTCCTTCCCCTCCTCCACCTGGTACTGACCAGGACCTACCTAATTTGCCTCAAAAGATTCCCTCGTTCTCTCCACTGCAACATCCACTATCCTAGTTTAAGTCTTCATCATCGCTCACCTGGGCCATCCTTACTACCTCCTCACTGGACTTGGCCCTCAATGTCTCCCCGCCATCCTGTCCTTCACACTGCTGCCAGGGTCATCACTACCCTAAACATCCGGTGAGCAAATGGCATTTTCCTCCTCAAAAGCTTTGGCCATTACCTGTAGAAGAGACTTCAACTTCCTCTCTTGTTGGTTCCCAGCTCTTTGTCAACCCCATCTCTTCAAGCTTCTCTCTAACCCCCACCCCGCCAATGCCACTTCCGAATACCAAAATTAGACTTTGGGGTCAAGGCGTGGCACCCCATCAGACTTGACCAGAAAACAATCCAAAAGGTCAACAAACAGACCTGGAACTATTTATAGGCTTTTCTGTCTTTTGGGTCACTTTTTATCGTTGCTGTTTCATTTTTGTTTGTTTGTTATCTTTTGTTGTTTTGCTCTGTCTTGTTTTTATGCGTATTATTGTCTTTGCATGTCTATCTAGATAGGATAGGTGGGATAAACAATCCAGAGAAGAAAACAATGGAACCGACCGAAGGTTCTGTGGGGACACAGAGAGGGGGAGCCGGGACAAAGAATTTGAGGTGACAACCAACTCAGGGACAAGGGAACAACAAGTGACCTAAAATCTATGAGATTTTACCCTATTTTTAGGGTACAGGAAGCCTGGTGGGGCAATGTAACTAAGAGGAATTACTGAAACCCAAATGAAGGCTGAACATGATAATGGAACAAGAGGAAAGTAAAAGGAAATAGAGGAAAGAACAAGGAGGCAAAGGGCATTTATAGAGGTCTAAATACAGGCATGTACACCTGTAAATATATTTATATATAACGATAGAGAAATAGATCTATGTACATATATTTCTATGTTAAGTATTAAGGTAGCAGGCGGACATTGGGCCTCTACTCAGTACTCCCTCAATGCAAGAATACTTTGTTCTAATAACTCAGCATTCTGTGATGCTCACCTTCCCTGATTCGATCACTGAAGACAAAATGGGTACATAAGCAAATGTGGTGAAGAAAGCTAATGGTGCCCAGCTTTCAAAAGATATAGTGTCTGGGGTCTTAAAGGCTTGAGGATAAACAAGCGGCCATCTAGCTCAGAAGCAACAAAGCCAACATGGAAGAAGCACACCAGCCTGTGTGATCATGAGGTGTCGATGGGATTAGATATCAGGCATCAAAGACCCAGAACAACAAAAACATCATATCAATGTGAATGAGGGGGTGTACAGAGTAGAGACCTAAAGACCATCTGTAGACTATTGGACATCCCTTTACAGAAGGGTCACAAAGAAGAGACAAGCCAGTTATGGTGCAGTATAGCACCGATGAAACATACAACTTTCCTCTAGTTCTTTATTCCTTCCCTCCCCTTCCACTATCATGACCCCAGTTCTACTTTACAAATCTGGCTAGACCAGAGCATGTACACTGGTACAGATAAGAGCTGGAAACACAAGGAATCCAGGACAGATAAACCCCTCTGGACCAATAATGAGAGTAGCTATACCAGGAGGGGAAGGGGAAGGTGGGGGAGAAAGGGGGAGCTGATCACAATGATCAACATATAGCCCCCTCCCAGGGTGAAAGAAAACAGAAAAGTGGGTGAAGGGAGACATCAGTCAGTGTAAGACATGGGAAAAAAAATAAAGTATCAAGGTTTCGTGAGGGGGGCAGAGAGGGGGGAAATAAGCTGATACCAAGGGCTCAAATAGAAAAAAAAGGTTTTGAAAATGATAGTGGCAACTTATGTACAAATGTGCTTGACACGATACATGTGTGTATGGATTGTGATAAGAGCTGTATGAGCCCCCAATAAAATGATTTTTTAAAAAGACACCCCGCTGCCCCATCTAACTACACTCAACAGTGGCTGATCCGTAGAGGTATCATGTGATTTCTCATCTCTGGGAATTTTCATGTTCTTGTCCTTCAGACTGGAATGCACTTTCCTACATTTTCCAGTGCTATCCTTTCCAATCTAACTCCTACACTCATTTCTTACACATCTGCTCTGAGCATACCTTATTCTGCCATTAGGCTGTTACATCCCTTGAACGTTAGCACTATTATCTTTTATCAGCTGGATTTGCAGTGTCTGGCGTGCAGCATGTATCCTTTTTGTTTGCTAAATGAAAGAAAGAATGTTCCCACACGACTGAGTGCAGGCAACGTTTTGTGGTACAGTGACGATGATGAAGTGCTTTCAGGGAACCAAAGCTCTCTAGGAGCAAGGGGGGAAATGTGGGAGCCTGATCTGTACACTCGCAGTCTTCGCTGCTCTGGGATTCTCCACCCCTGCCTCCTTGACCCATAAAGTGACCATACTTCGCAAAGCCCAGATCACACGATCTGACACATAGTCTTAGCAAGCAATAGAACGTTGGAAATCCAAGCTCTCCCAGAAAAACGCAGTCCATCTGGAAGCTGCTTTTAATGTTGACCTACAAGGTGGGGACTCCAGTTAAGGGGGGAATGCAAGAGAGGACCCTGTTGGACTTCTGGCTGCCTGAGAACAGCTCAAGAAGGGAACTTTTGAGAGAGGGTCCCCCTACAGGGCAGGGAGAACATGCAGGTACCAGGTGACCACTCTAATTAGGGGACAGTGTCTTTGGAGGGCCGGTTGCCCAGGCAAAATAGGGAAGGGCAGAGCAGTGCCTAACAGACTTACCTCCAGAAGTGGTAGAAGAGCAGGGGGACATTCAGCCCCAGGGTGAGCCACTCCTGTGCACACAGGAACATGATGCAGAAAAGACTGTGGATGGAGTATTCGGGCAGCACCAACTGAAGAAGGAGCAGAGACACAGGCTTGTGTTAGACAAAAGAAGACCCACTCCTGCTTCTACGGCACCTCACTTCTGCCAGGACCCTGTGTCCCGTGTATTGGTGGCAGGAAACCCTTCCGGCAACAGCACAGAGTGACTGCCCCAGGATTGTGACCCATTAGGTAAGCTTTCTTCTTTAAAAAAAAAAAAAATTAAGTTTTATTGACATATAATTCACATATCATATCATTCAATAGTTAAATATATTTTTTAAGTTAGGAAATCATCAGCATAATCAATTTGAGAACACTTTCTTCTTTCTTGTGCTCATTATTAATTGCTCCCCGTTCTTCACCCCCCCCCACTCCCAAGTTACCCTGCTATCACCCCAAGAACCTAACAATCCAGTTGCTATCTCTATAGATTTACCTATCCTAGATGACATATAGTCGAACCTTTGTGGTGTAGTGGTTACATGTTAGGCTGCTAACTGCGAAGCCAGCTGTTTGAAACCACCAGCCACTCCTCAGGAGAAAGATGAGGCTTTCAATTCCTGTCCAGAAGTAGAGTCTCGGAAGCCCACAGGAGCAGTGCTGGACTGTTCTGTGGAGTCACTGGGAGTCGGATCGACCCAATGGCAGTGACTGAGATCACATATAACGAAGAACATACAAAAACAAAAATTAAAAAATATCACCACAAACATCAAAATAAAACACAGAAAAACCTCAGTTGAAAAGGTAACAGAAAACAATAAAAACCAGAACAAATGAAAGGTGGCTCAAAAGGGAGAACAAACGATAAGGTGTTAAAACTTTAACCTAACTGAATTGGCATTAGTCCACTTTCCGATACACTCTGACTGACAGCTAAGCTATTCCCACCGGAGAGTCACCAGAAGCGGAATCTAAGTGGGGACCCTGCACATGGATGGTGGGCTTCCACTGTCAGCCACCGCCTTCTGCTCAGGATTTACATACGCAGGCTTCTTCACAGTACCGACCAATCACCTGCTGTCAAGTCCATTCCAATTCATGGTAACCCCAGTTCAGAATAGAACCGTGTTTCATTACAGTTAGTGATGACTGGAATCCACAAGCCGGGGGAGGAGAAGGATTGTAGTTGGAAAAGATAACCTTAGGGAAAAAATACTGGAAACCACGTGACAGAATTTTGTAAGAATGACTTATTCATTGCAAATGCCTTTTCCCACAACATAAATAGGAACTCTATGCGTGGACCTTGCCAGACAGAATGCAAAGCAATCAAACTAAGTACAGCTAGAGAAAGAGCGCACAAAGCAGCTCGGTATGTGAACAACTGGTGGCGAGCCGTGTTTGCTGAAAACCAAGAGGACTTGAAGCGTTTACTAATGCAGACTAAAGTCCTTCACTATAGATGACATCCCAATATAAAAAAAATAAAAGCCCAGCTGAACACATCACGATAGATGGAGAACATACGAAATCCGTCGAGGACCTCCGTTTGTTTGAGATGCCCACAGAAGCGGCACTCAGGGAATCCAATGGGGGGACTTTGCAGGGGGAAATATACTGCCCAAGGTCGATGTAAAGCATTGAAGAGTAAAGATTTCCTTTTGAAGACTAGGCACACCTGACCCAAGCCAGGTGTTTCAATCACCTCATATGCATGCAAAATCTGGACAATGAATAAGGAAGATGGGAGAAGAATGAATGCATTTGGATTATGGTGTTGGTAAAGAATACTCAATATATCGTAGGCTACCAGAAGAACACACAAATCTGGCTTGAAGGAAGTACAGACATAAATTACACAATACTCCTTAGAACTGAGAATGACAAGACGTCGTCTCATGCACTTTAGACATAGTATCATTGAGCGGGACATCGCGTGTGATAGTCAGGACAAAAACAGAAAGAAAGATCTTCCAGGAAAATGGACTGACATAGTGGTTGTAACAATGGCTCAAACGGCAGTGACTGTGACGATGGCATGGGACAGGGCAGTGTTTCATTCTGTTGCATATGGGGTATCTGTGAGTCAAAAGTGGTTAGATGGCACCTAACAACAGTAACAACAATCAAGTCATAAGAATAATGCCGGGGGCCTACGTGGAGAGGAAATGTTTTGAGAATGAGGAGGGCAGTGAGTGTACAAATGTGCTTTACACACAATTGATGTATGTATGGATGTGATAAGAGTTGTATGAGCCCCTAATAAAATGATTAGAAAAAGAAAATAGAGCTGATACCAAGGGTTCAAGTAGAAAGAAAATGCTTGCGGTAACATATTTATAAATGTGCTTAATACAATAGATGTATGGATTGTTACAAGAGCTGTAAGAACCCCCAGTAAAATGATTTATTAAAAAGTTTTTAAAAAGAAACGAAAACAAACAAACAAAAAAGAATACACCTACACACGAGGTACGGTCTATTGGGTGTATCGAAAGGACTTGCAAACGTTCTTAGAAAAATTCCATTATCTTTCCACTCCATTTTCCACAAACTTTTTGAAGTTCTCTTATGATTGTTGTTGTTGTTGTTTGTTGCAATCAAGTCCACCTTGACTCCTAGCAGCTCCATGAACAGTGGAACTAATGCTCCTGGTGCTCTGTCACTCTATGACTGGTTACTGATTGGACCATTGCGATCCAATCGGTGGTGGGTTTTCACTTGCTAACTTTTGTAAGTAGATGACTAGGCCTTTCTTCCAACTCATCTCAGTCTCAAAGCTCGACAGAAATTTGTTCAGCATCATAGCAAAACACACGCCTCCAAATGGCAGATGAGTGGTACGCTGGCTGGTCTCCGCCATCCAGAAGGTACCATCAAGTCGGCCCCAACTCCTAGTGACCCTATGGATGTACAACAGAGTGAAACTGCCCAGTCCTGGGCCATCCTCAAACAATGATTGTTATATTTGAGCCCATTATGATCCACACAGTTGAATGTCTTTGCACAGTCAAGAAAATAAAAGTAAACATTTTTCTGGTATTCTCTGCTTTCAATCAAGGTCCATCTAACATAAGCAATGCTATCCTTCATTCTACCTCCACTTCTAAATCCAATTGGAATTTCTCGTAGCTCCTGGTCAATGTATTGCTGCAACCATTGTTGGGTGAGATCAGCAAAATGTACTTGCATGTGGCATTGATGATATTGTTCGATACATTCTACATTCTGTTGGGTCACCTTTCTTTGGAATGGGTACAAATATGCGTCTCTTCCAGTCAGTTGACTAAGTAACTGCCTTCCAGGTTTGTTTGTTTCTTGGGTTGTTGTTTTTTTTGGCATGGACAAATAAGTACTTACAATGCTTAATCATCTTATTGAAACATTTCAATTGGTATTCCATCAATTCCTAAAACCTTATATTTGGCTAATGGCTCAATGCAACTTGGACTTCTTCCTTCAGTATCATTAGCCCTTGCTCATATGCTAGCTCTTGAAATGGTGGAATGTCAACTAGTTATCTTAGGCACAGTGACTCTGTATTCTTTCCTTCTTATTCGGAAGCTTCCTGTGTTGTTCAATATTTTGCCCGTAGAATTTTTCAATAATGCGACTCGAGACTTGAATTTTTTCTTCTGTTCTTTCAGTTGAAGATATGCCAACCATATTTTTTTGTTGTTGTTTTCTACCTCTAGATATTTGTATGTTTGATTGTAATGGGTTGCTTTGTCTTTTCAAGCTGCTCTGAAAATTTCTGTTCAGCTCTTTTACCTCATGTCTTCTGTTTGCTTTTAGCTGCTCTAGATAAGAGCAAGGTTCAGAGGCTCTTCTAACATTCACTGTGTCTTTTTGAGTATGCAGCCTGGAATGTGAGAAGTCAACCACTGAACTACCAATGCCTGTGTATCCATCCATCCACTCATCATCCATCCATCTTCTATGCCTTGCTTAGACACGCACAGGTGTGTGTTTGACCTCCTCAGCAGAATCTTTCTAACAGTCTCTCAAAGCCCACTTTGAATGCCATTCGAGTGAGAATTCTGCATCCATTCACACCTCCTCTGGTCATAACCTGAACCAGAGCCCCACTGCTTTCTGGCTCTCTCTTTGTGGCCTTCGCATCTTCTACCCATCAGAGGAGGATCACTGCCCGCTTCCTCCTGCCAGCCCACTTGACACCCTCCCATTGTTCTGTAAGCCATCTCGGCTAAGATGTATTCTTTTCCTATCGCCATTAACAAAGTGCTTTGCACAGTGCCTGGTAATTAGCTGACACTCAACAACTATTTGGTCAAATGAATTGAACTGACCAAGTCCACACGTCTGCAACGTGGTTGGCTGGCGCTAGGACTGCAGCCCAGCGGGGTCAGCTATTTCTCTGGGAGTGAAGGAAAGTGCTTCCAACTCCCTATTTGGGTTAAAAGCACATCTCTGGTCACTCCTCTCTCATCTTAGTCAGAGCGGCTGACCGCCCCAGATGGCAGGTACAGGGGAAGACACGCATACACCCACATTACAAATAAACACACACAGGCATACGGTCAGAAATGCATTATGTAACTAAAATCTGGTGAAAATTGAATTAAATTAACCCACATGTTAAAATCCTCAGACATAAACCGTGGAATCAAAGTTAAAGAGCCATCATTTCCAAAACAGGTGACACTCCATGGGTGAACCGGCAACCACATTGGGGAAGCATATGTTTTCCTTAGAGACCTGAGAGCCAGCCTTACTGACCCCATTTGCACCAACCAAGGCACCACACCACGTCCCCCTGTTCAAGGAGAGAGCCCATGTTTTCAGAGCTGGGCACGCCAGCGCAGGAAGCTCTGCCGTGCACATCCATACATTCTTTAATCATCAGGTTCAGCCACTTACGTTGAGGTAATTAACATGTTTAGAGACAGCTACTCCAGGCCTGAATCATCCATTACGGCACCATCCCCATATCCAGTGACAAACCTCTGACTGATTACAGCTTGGATTTCAGGTCCCACCATTAATCACCACTGCCTCTTCCCTCTTCTGGGCCTGATTTATAGTGGAAGCTGCAACCTTCTGAGCAAGGAGGATTCGTCACTGTCACCATGTGGAGGAAAACCAC